CGCTCCCCACAAACCTGCATCTCCTCTACCAATGTGGAGGGCGCAGGTCCAGGCCCAGGGCTGGGTCTTTATCCTCCCCACTCTGCACCCCAAGATTCTCCCATCTTTTGCACTGGACCTGCTACCTAAGCATATGGAACCGATTGAAAGAATTTGTATGCTCACCTTATAATTTATGCAAATCAACTCTGTAATTAACTATAATTTGGAGGCATCCTTTGGTATTTGAGACATTTATCCATGAGGAAATGCCCTAGTGATAATGCTCCCGTATTAACATTATTTACTCCACCTGTGTGGTCTCCCCAGTGCCCCCCCTGGGTTCTGGGCTGGAAGGGGGCAGGGAAGCCCCTCCCTGGAGCCAGCCCGGGTCCTGACGCCTGGGTTCCCCCGGGGAGCTGGGCTGGCTCGTTCTCCCGATTTTGCCCAGGACTGAGGGATGCGGACGGCCCTCTGCGCAGCCCTCCACCACCCTGATAGCTGGGAGGCTTCCTGCAGAGCCTCAGTCTTCTGGGCCTCAATGGTCTCCTCTGTGAAATGGGGGGAAAGAACCTGTGGGGCGCTGTGGGATAATTACTGCAAAGCTAATGAATTGAGTGGGAATCCCCAGCCCAGAGCCCGCTGGGGGTGGGGAGCAGAGAGTCGGGGTGAAGGATCCCAAGCAGGGCTCTGGGCTACGGTGAGAAAAGGGGGAGCCCCGGGAAAAGTCCCCGGGCCGCTTTCCTATGTGGCCAGGATTCCCGGCCTCGGACTCGCTGCTGGGAACGGTCTTCGCGTCTCAGCTCCACTTTGAGGCTCTTTGTCCCTTCTGCTGCAGGACCTGCCCCCGCTGACCAATATGCCACCCTCAAATTAGGCTCCTATAAACAGCTGGGGACGTGGGGCTGCACCCCAGCGCCTGGGGCCCTCTCTCCTTGGCCAGGCTTCCTGCTCCAGGGTCCCAGGCCCCCGCCGTCTCCTCATCCCCAGCGAGGGGTCCCAGGCCCAAGCGCCGGAGGGCGGAGTGAGGCCGGAGTCTGCTGGGAGCTCAGCCGGGACGCCCGGCTGCGGGCTGGGCGTGTGTTAGACCCCTCCGCCCCACCAAGCCCACGGAGAAAACCCTCCGGGGCGCGGACGGAGTCTGGGGCGCCGTCCCCCGCCCCGCCCCCGCCGCAGCTGCTCCGGGCGGAAACCCCCTCTCCTGGCAGCGCTGGGAGGCTGCCTCGCACCCCTGCCACTCCCCCGGAGAGCCGGGCCGCTGCTTCCTGGATTACCCTAAAAGCTTCCGAGGCCGCGAGGACTTGGCAGCAGCCGCTGCCTGTTTTTCACCCCCACCCGCGAGCTCCCTGTCCCCCCTTTATAAAGGCTGGCTCTCTAGTCGCCCCCACTGGGCCCTCAGCCGCTGCCAGCCCTGGGCTCCATGGACTGGTAAGAGAGGGACCCGCGCGGGGGACCAGGTCTCCACTGCACAGGGGGCCACAGAGAGGGGTCAGGGAGGCTGGACTCACTAGAACTGGGGACGGAGGAGAGGGAGGACTGGGCAGGATCTGCAGAAAGAAGCACAAGGGTCCCCCGGGGTCTGGGTAGGGGGCTGGACTGGGACCTGGGGCCTCATTCTGAGAGGGAGGATCGTTGTGCAGGCGCATGCCTATCACACAGTTCACAAACCTGTCATCCCAGCACTGAGGAGGCTGAGGCAGGAGGATCAACATGAGTTCAAGGCCAGCCTGGGCTACACAGCGAGGCCCTGACTAAAATAAACAAACAAACAAAACACAACTGAACACATCCTGGGGGAGCCCACTTTATGACAGAGGAGAGAGGATGACACAGGCACAATAGGCACATACACGTGTCAGTGCACACACACACGCATGCACACACGCGTGCCCTATCCTCAGGGACACTCACCATCCACAAGATGAGGGATGGGAGCTGGGCGTGGCGGCGCACACTGTAATCCCGGGCTCGGGAGGCTGAGGCAGGAGGATCGCTGCAAGTTCAAGGCCAGCCTGGGCTACAAAGTGAGCTCAGGGCCAGCCTGAACTGCACAGTGAGACCCTGTCTCAAACAAAACAAAACAATACAAAAAGATGAGGGATGGGGTGGATGCTTGTGACCCTTGGACGGATAAAAGGATTAGTGTCCAGAGTAGTGTTTGGCCCCAGTTAGACCCTCAGAAAGTGTTTGCTGAATGAATAAAGGATAAAGAAAAATTATCCGAGCCCAGTTCTGGGTACTCCAGGTCTTCCAGGAACCTAAGAGGGTGGGATGGAGGGGACTGAGCTGCCCCTTGTTTAGGGGTTCAGTTTTCCTGCAGTAAGGAGGGCCCGGACGGAGCAGCTGTGAGACCTCCCTAGTGCTGTTTCTGTAGGTCAGAGCAGGCTGGGGAGGGGCCACTAGCGTGGACTGTCTGTCACTTGTCCCAGCAACGCGAGATTGGGTCAGCTTGTCCTGCTGGACCCACGATGGTGGGTGGTTCGGATCTGGGCCTCAGTTTAAGAGTCCCGTGCCCTCCATCTTCAGGGTCTAGGGAGCCAACAGCCACGGAGTCTGAGATCTGGACTCAGTTTCCTCTGTCTCTTAACAGCTCTGTAATCTTGGGCAGGTCATTTAGTTTCTTTGATCCCTGGCTTCCTCATCTGTACAATGGGAATAATAATAATAATTACCTTGTTGCATGCTCATGAGAATGAGACGGGTCTGTGGAAAGTCCCTGGCGTGCACACAGTAGGTGCTCAGCAAATACATGCTGCCTGTTATGAGCCAGCAGAGGCAGAAGGCTGTTCCTTGCACAAACTGGATCGATGAGGCTTGAGAGAAGGAGGGCTGGGCAAGGATGGAGGTGGACACTCACTCCCCTGGAGGTCTGTGTCTTCCAGGACCGAGGGAGGGGGCGGAACTGGCCCGAGTCCAGGGCAGAGCTCAGTTTGTGTGATGAGTTCAGTTGTGCGCCATGATAAGAATCCGGGCTGTGGTGACTTTGGCAGTCCGGCCCCTATCAGACCACAGCCACCGCTGTGGAGGAACCGAAAGGGCTGGAAGCAGAGACATGAAGTCCAGGGGAGAAAGGCAGGGCTTCCAAATGCGAGCGCTTCCGGGGACAACTTCCAGGCTGCCGTGGGTCGGAGTGGAGTGAGGCTGGGGGAGGGGTGTTGGGTAGAAGTGGGGTGAGGTGTCTGCCCTCGTCTTCTCTGCTGCTTTCCAGGAAAAGATGGGCAGCACCGGGAGGATGAGGGCACCCTGGTGCCTTTAAAAGGGAGATGGAACTCCGTCCCCCGCCGGGAGTCAGACCAGGCGCCGACTGGAGCCTCAAAGAATAGCACATGCAGACTGGGAGCAGCGGGCAGCTGGGAGGGGAGAGAGGACGGGGCGGGGGTCTGCTCAGGCTTAACCCAGGACCCCAGTCACCCCGCTTCAGGGCACCCTGGTCTGCCAGGGGCACGTTAGCAAGCGCGCCGGAGAGGGGCTAGAATTTAGGTCTGTGAATTCTAATCCAAAGATCTTTGTGAACCCAACACAAAACGCTGGGAACCGATGTATTTCATAATTACAACAAGGATGTCTGTCTCTCCGTTGCCCTCCATGTAATTCCTGTAAGCCCCAAGAAAGCCTCCCAACTTGTACCCTGGTTGTCAAGATGAAGGAATCGAGCTTTAGACAAGAGGGAGACGCACACATTGATCAGACACTGCCTCTGGCTAACAACCCATGCAGCTTTGACGGGGCGACCACGCACACAGAGACTGGCTTTCCAATGGCTGCGGATTTTAAGTTAAACTCTGTGTCTTTGCTGTGTCCGAAACCGGGAATGCAGGACAGTGTGCGTGAAAGGGGGCTGCAGGAGCGAGACTGCATCAGCCTAAATTCCAGCAGGACTCTGGGAAATGAACTGTAGGTGCAAAGGGGGAAAACCCGAAAATATGAAAAGCCAGTGTTCAAGTGCACGGGGGAAGCAAACTCCAGCACGGAAAGAAACACAGACACTGATCAGAGATCACCTGCATAAAAAGTGTCATCTCTGGAAGGCAGTACAGACAACACCCAGGAAGGGCCACCTCCAGGCGCAGGCTAAGGGCAGGGAGTGGGGTCTCCCGTCCACCAGCATCTGGTGGGGGGAGGGCCTCAGCTGACTGGGATCTTTAGAGAAGTTTTTAGGGGAGTGCCAGGAACCCTGGAATTTCGCCTGACGGTTCCATTGTGTCCGTGCCTCTGTTTTGCCCAAAGAGCTTCAGGACTTCTCCCCAAAGTGAAGTATTCCCACAGAATCGGGAGAACTGGCTGCAAGGGCTCCCCAGTTCTGTCCAGCAGTGTCCCCGCCCAGGGCCACGCAGAGCCCTGGCCAGACTTCAGTCCGGCGAGGCTGAGCCCCTCGGGACGCGGGGCAGGCGCTTTGGACGGGGGCAGCGGTGGGAGGCGCCGGGGTTCCGTGTACGCCGAGGTGGAGGGCGAACTCGGAGGGGTCTGGGAGATCGGGGTGGGGGCAGGCAGAGACCCGCGGATGGGGCAAGAAATGGGGGGTACCTAGAAAGGTGAGAGGCCGGGGGGGGGGGCATGGGAAGCCCGAGGAGGGAGGGCGGGGCGGGTGCTATTGGAGAGAAGCGGAGGGGGTCAGATTCCCCAGCACAGGCCTTCGAGCGGACTGGACACGTTCTTGGCCCTCAGTCCTGTTTCCTGCCTAACTCCCCGGGTCGGGCGAAGCAATGGGCGCCCTAAAAAGGGTGGCTCAGTAGCACCCTCAGGGTCCCCCTCCCCCGTGGCCCCAAGCGCTGCACAGCATCCCGGAGCAGGCCGAGCTTGCTGGAGGGCAGTTTCCCACCCGACAAGGGCCCCTCGGCCAGGGAGTGGAGCGGACAGGGCCAGGGAGGAGCCTCGATCGCCAGCCCCCCGCCCCCTCCTTCCTCACGGCTGGGCCCGGCCGGGCGTCCCCGCGCGCCTGCAAGGGTTAAAGGAGGCTGCAGGTGAGGTGGGCGGGGCCGCGGGCCGGGGAGGAAAAAGGAGCGCAGGGCGAGGATGCGGCAGAGCGCGCGGTGAGTCACGGGGAGCTGGCCTCGCTTGCTCGCTCGCCCGCCCGATCCCAGCTCCCGCCCACCCTCGCCTCCCGCCGGCTGCCGGGGACCCCGGCTCTGCCCGCGCCGCC